GACATACAAATGTGCCAGACGGATGCAAGTACGTGTGCTGCATCGAGGGAAGACGAGGGCCGGCCGCTCTTTAAGGTGAAGGTGGTGGAGAAAGGATACGATGACATCATACTGACCGGAGCAACACCCAAAGGTAAACATCAGCTGCTCACCCTACGCAGGACCCGCCTACTTGGAGCAGACAGGATGTAATTGTGTGTGTGTCTGTGTCTCCAGCTGTGTGGGACCAGATACTGGAACCAGTATCACAGATCAGATCCTCCAGTGGAACTCTGAAGCTTTTCCCAGTTTACCTAAAAGGAGAAGATCTGTTTGGACTGACGACGTCTGCAGTAACCCGAATCATCGAATCTGTAGGTCACACACGCGCACACACACACACACGCACACACTAATCATTATCATCATCATCATACTGACTTGTGTGTGTGTGCTTCTGTGTGTGTTTAGCTGCCAGGTGTGGAGACCTGTGAGCGTTATACCTTTCGTTATGGAAGGAACCCGCTCATGGAGTGGCCTCTGGCATTCAACCCTTCTGGCTCGGCCCGATCTGAACCCAAAGCCTCCCAGACAAAGAGGTAACACACCTGTACTGGTGGATATATACACACACACCTGTCCTGGTGGATATATATACACACACACACACCTGTCCTGGTGGATATATATACATACACACACACCTGTCCTGGTGGATATATATACATACACACACACCTGTCCTGGTGGATATATATACATACACACACACCTGTCCTGGTGGATATATATACATACACACACACCACTGTCCTGGTGGATATATATACATACACACACACCTGTCCTGGTGGATATATATACATACACACACACCTGTCCTGGTGGATATATATACATATACACACACCTGTCCTGGTGGATATATATACACACACACACACCTGTCCTGGTGGATATATACACACACACCTGTGCTCACACACACCTGTCCTGGAGGATCAAGAGACAGGTGAGTCCCGCTCCTCATTGAGTGTCTCCCCGTCAGACCCAACCTGCTGACCAGCATTGCTCCCAGGTGTCAGGGCTCGGTGGGCTCCATCGTAGGCCTCGTGCCCGGCGTCATCTCTCTGTCTCCGGGCGAGTCGGTGACGGCCGCCGCTCACCTGGGACGCCACTCCAAGGCGGCTCAGTATCGACGCATGACGGCGGAATGGAAGACAAACGTGTACCTGGCCCGCTCTCGCATCCAGGTGAGAAACTGACCATGTGACCATGTTACACATGACTGAAGGATGGGTCACTGATCTGTGTGTCTGTGTGTAGGGTCTGGGTCTCTACGCAACCAAAGACATCGAGAAATGCACCATGGTCATCGAGTACATCGGCACCATCATCAGGAGCGAAGTAGCCAATCGCAAGGAGAGGCTGTACGAGTCACAGGTAACCGACACATCAGTTCACACACATCAACTTCTTCTTTTACTTGTTTGTATCAAATAAAAACACAAATCATCAACATTGTGTTTTCACATGTTTGTGTGTGTAGAACCGTGGTGTGTACATGTTCCGGATCGACAACGACTTTGTGATCGATGCCACCATCACTGGAGGACCGGCCAGGTGAGATCACTTCAATCTAGTTTTAGATCTTCTGTGGTCTTTAATAATTTAGAATCAAGCGGTTAACCTCATTGATGATGTCTGTGATTGACAGGTACATCAACCACTCGTGTTCTCCTAACTGCATCACCGAGGTGGTCACCGTGGAGAAGGAGAACAAGATCATCATCAGCTCCTGCAGACGCATCCAGAGAGGAGAAGAGGTATTTGAGGAATAATCTACATTAATAAATCCGGATAATCCATATAAATCACTAGGAATAATCTACATCAGGAATCAGGAAATCAGGAATCAGGAAACATTTATTTGCCAAAATATGCCAAACATACAAGGAATTTGTCTTGGCGGTTAGTGTGTGACAGTAGACAGTGTGACAATAGACAACAAGACAGCAGTGCACAAGTAATAAAATGAAATGCTAATGCAATGGGTTAGTAGAATAAGGCTATGGGTTAGTATAAAATAAGAATAAAGTTAAATAATAAAGTTAAAGTTAAAAACTAAAAATATTAAAGTTAAAAAATATTAAAAAATAACGTGCAAATGAAATCATTCAGGTATGTTTCTGTCTGTTTCTCTTTCAGTTGTCTTATGACTACAAGTTTGACCTGGAGGACGACCAACACAAGATTCCGTGTCACTGTGGAGCCGTTAACTGCCGTAAATGGATGAACTGAAGACACGTCTGTCCCAGTCTCTCTCCATTTGTCCCTCTCTCTGGATTCTGAGTATCAATTGCGCATCTCCCTGTGGGCGGAGCTACACTTCTTGTCAAAAGTTAATATGGTAATAATAAACCCAATCACACATGATTGGAAGGAGGAGCGCGGCTAATTAGGGTGGATGAGTGACAGGCGGGGGGGGGGGGGGGCTTACGACGAGGCTGGTCCTCTGTGTGTATATTGTGTAATAATTACCACAGATGAAAATGTGAAATAACAGAATGTCTTCGTCATTAAGTTGCACTAGGAAAAAAAATATAAAAAACAACAAGAAAGAATCAATGCCCACAGACACATTCTTCCTCTTCATATTCCACTCCCTCTTCCTCCTACTGCTTTTTGTTAATTTCCTGTAAAATAAGAGATTTTGTTCTTTTTGTATTTATTACTGAATGAAGCTATTTTCTAATTGAGTTCCAGAGTCACAGCTTGTAAATATCTATCATAAATATGTTGTTAGAAATCAAACGTTCTCGAAATCACTCCACCGACAGCGACCTTCACCTCATCCTCACCTTCGTCACCTTCCTGTCGCGGTGCACTCTGATTGGATAAGACTTGATGGTTTACACGCAGCATTTGGCTGCAGGTGTTTTTCAGTTGAGGTTTTTTCACTTTGTTTGGTGAGTCCTGTGTAAATATGAGCTTTAACAGGACTGTGATGTGTACAGACATGATGCCCTCCTGTGTTTTGTTTTTTCAGTTAAACTGATTGCGATAATGATTATGCTTGTTTTATTGTTTTTGGGGGGAAATGTGGGATCTGATTTAGAATAATTTACAGAAAATAAAATATTTTACAACTTGAAGCGACACTTTAATGTGTTGGTTGGTCGGTTACCTGGCAGTGGCTGCTATGTTTCCATGCCAACGTATTCTTTTATAACCTGCGTACGAGTTGTCGCTAAAGTTTGTTGTGACTCCTTCTGTTTTGAATTAAATCTCTGAGGACCAGGTGAGTAAGTTAGCACAGTGTTGTGTTCGAAGACTAAACAGGACCCACCAGTTTGCCATTTAACCTTTAGTCCTCTGAATCCTCGTCAGAGGAGCAAAGAAATGGGAGATATAGCACTAACACTTATGTTCAGTCGTGGAGACTCTCCTTGCTGAGTCAATAATTAACACATCTCCTGGTATCTTAACAATTCTCTAGGTTCATCTATCAGAACTCGAACAATAAAGGGAAAAAAAATCCTTCCGCTTTATTTTGAAAGGCTATCTTTGAGGTTCTGGTTCAGTTTGTTGTGAAAGTCATAAGCGGAAGTGACATGATGACGCAGTGACAACACGGAACTGTAACGGCGTGTTTATATCCAGCTGCGCTGCTACATTCAGAAGCCCACTGGAAATCCTGCTAATTTAAGCCTTGGCGGCTAGCTGACCTGCCGGCCGTAGTGCCGCTGAGCAAACTGCTGATGACACGTGAGTAGAGTTCAGGGATGGGCCCGAGGAGTCGGATATTATTTTTCTGGGTGTAAGTTAATAGCCCGTTAAGCTAAAGCTAATAACGTTAGCCAATGTCTCCTCAAGAGTGTAGCTAGCGTTCGCTAAACCTGGTTTCCATTATCGGGCACAAGGGATTCAATTTGTTAGTAGTTGTTCCAAAGTGTAACGTGTCTCTCATCCGCTGTTTTAATCCAGCGCATTTAGACCCCTGCTTCACTGTCCACGTACTTCACTCACTGAATGTCACCCGAGACTGCGTCTAAAAACGGAAAACAAATGATTATCTCTTCAATACGCCACGATAGTCCATTCAAAGGAATGGTCACGCGAACTGTTGTGAGGGGGGGTTGAGTAACAGGTGACTTCATCGGGTAAAGTTGAAAAGAAACGCCTGTGAAATAGCAGATTTTTGATTGGAGTTTGGCTACAGATTAACGAATGTAATTGTAAAGTAAATGGTTGACCTGCATGATTATTAACGGGACACCTGACACCTGTCCTCGTGCCTCCCGATTCACTCACCCAGGTTTTTGATGAATCAGCTGGTTCAGGATCAGCAGCAGGACTGAGGTAAACCCTGACGTTGCTGTTCACAGATTTGGAGGTCAAGCTGAGCGTATCATTATTGATACCAGTTTACCTTTTATTGTTACTGTTATTCCGTATTATTCATTCTATTATTGATATGGCTATTGAAACTATTTGTCATTGATATCAATGTCATTATGTTGATGCTATTATTTTATATTATTATTATTCCTGTTATAAAAAGAAACAACAGACTGTTAGGCTTTTGGCGGTTTGCAAAAATTGCTCTTGGATTTACTCTACACTCTGCATTCACTCTGACAATATATTCACACTTCCTGGTTGCAGTCTTATTCCCTCATCGTGCCCCTAGGACATATGGGTAATGTAGTCCAAGGTAGGCAGAATACTTACTGAACCAGAACGTTGTGAATTATACCCCTCAAAACTCACTCATTGTCCTGACTGTTGGTGTCCACCACAGTAATAACATTATTTTAAATAAATATGACGGTCAGAATCTTTAAGATAGCATTTTGTAGCTTACAATGGCACCATCATTTTATTTAGGACTATATGTGTGTATTCTGAATGGAATGATGTCAACTTGATGTTGCTCCAATTTTACGTCTCTCTCAGTGGTGTGATGTGAGGCGATGCCCGCTCGGCCGTCATGGCCAGTGTCACCTTAAGGTATTTCTGTTATGGCTGCCTCGTCACCTCGGCAACCTGGTCCGTCCTCCTCTTCCTGTACTTCTCTCTGGGGGCGGAGCCAGGCCTCGGCAGGACCCCCATGCAGCACCGCAGCCAGCCGATCACCAAACTACCCATTAACCGGAAGGCGGGGCTTCGGCCTCTGCTGGCCAATGAGGGAGTGGAGCTGTCCCCAGAGATGGGTGAGTGTGTTGTGGGGCCGCTGGCAAATATGGCAATCTGTCCGTCATCCGATCCATATTACACATGGCTCCTCCCTCATGATGACAGGGTGTCTCTTGGTCCTCAGGGATGATATTTAACGAAGCGGATCAGGAAGTGAGAGACAGCGGTTACCACAGACATGCCTTCAACGTTCTCATCTCCACCAGACTAGGAAACCACAGAGAGCTGCCGGACACCAGAGACTCGCAGTAAGAACTGGCACTGGGATCATTTTTGTATTCCATCGCTATCACCCAATCAGGTGTCAGATTGACAGGTGTGATGAGGAAGGTCACAGACAGTGCGGAAGAAGGTCATAGTTTTTTTGGAGGAGTTTGATCCAGTGTAGATCCAAACGTGTGTTCTTTCCTTAGCACATGAAGTGAACATAAGGTAAACGAAAGGAGAAATCAAACAGTCGGGATATTGTTGAGTGTTAAGGTCTCTTTGAGGAAGCAACAAGATTCTTATACATTATTGCATGTGTAGAGACTGAAGTGCTCTGAGGCAAGGTTGTAATTTGCGATTTTGGGCTATATAAAGGGGGCGGCACGGTGGTGTGGTGGTCAGCACTGTCGCCTCACAGCAAGAAGGTCCTGGGTTCGACTTCGCCTAGTAGCCTTTCTGTTTTCTATGTTCTCCCCGTGTCTGCGTGGGTTCTCTCCGGGTTCTCCGGCTTCCTCCCACAGTCCAAAGACATGCTCTGGGGATCAGGTTGATTGGGGACTCTAAATTGTCCGTAGGTGTGTCTCTGTGTAGCCCTGCGATTGGCTGGCGACCATGATGGATGGATCGATGGATGGGGCTATATACAATTAGTTAGAGTTGAACATGAGGGGAAGTGTGCTTCAACATGTCGACACTCATTCTAGACAATGGTTCGTGATGACGAACCACTGGTTAATGATTATAAATAACTGGTTACTGGTGATGAACCATCGTTTTTTGCTACCAATCCCTCTGCAGGTGCCGGGATAAGGTTTACTCTCTGGCTCTACCTTCTGCCAGCGTAGTGATCTGTTTCTTCAACGAGGCGTTGTCTGCCCTGCTGAGAACGGTCCACAGTGTGCTGGACCGGACGCCGGCTTATCTGCTGCACGAGATCATCCTGGTGGATGACCACAGTGAGCTGGGTAACACTTCAGTCATCACTTCACAATATACCGGTTATCTATCCTCTAGGTTTACAGCTATGGGGGGGCGGGGGCGGACACAGTGTGTGTGGACCGACAGAGGGGCGGTGAACATTCACCGTCATTTTCCCGCACTCTGTGTCCACTGGTGGGCGCATGCTTACCTGTTTGTGTGTGCACATGTCTGTGGTCCCATTGGGGCAATACTCCGTCGTGGGCAGAGAGAAGTGGAGAATTGTAAGCGTCCCCGGGGAGGGGGTGGGCTGCCTCCCTATATAATGGTACACACTAAATCTACTCAGTGTTGTATGCGAATCGACTATTGACCCTCCACATCTAACATGTTGAGTGTGTCAATTCAGAGGAGCTGAAGGACAACTTGGATCGGTACATAAAGAAGGAGCTGCAGGGGAAAGTTAAGCTGGTGAGGAACCGGAAGAGAGAAGGACTCATAAGGGGACGCATGATCGGGGCCTCACATGCAGCTGGTAAGTCCTACATCCTGTGTTCCGTCCCTTATAAACTGTCTATATCCCTTATCCATCCAATTTCCCTTCCTCATCTTTAATCTGTGCGTCCCTGGTTTCCTACATCCCTTGACGCTATTTAATTCTTGGTTGCTGTAAATCTTTATCCCATAACTGAAATTCCCTACTGAAGACCAACATTTTTACCTTTTATCCCTCAACCCTAAATCCTGGGTTACTGCCTCCCTACTTGGTCAAAGTGTACCAGCACTCAACTGTGTCACCTGTGTGTGTTGGCCCAGGGGAGGTGCTGGTCTTCCTGGACAGCCACTGCGAGGTGAACCAGGCGTGGCTTCAGCCTCTACTGGCCCCCATCCAGAAGGACCGGCGCACCGTAGTCTGCCCAGTCATCGACATCATCTCTGCCGACACACTGTCCTACTCTCCCTCCCCCATTGTCAGGGGGGGTTTCAACTGGGGCCTGCACTTCAAGTGGGACCCTGTCCCCCCCGCTGAGCTCAACAAGCCCGAGGGAGCCACTGGACCCATCAGGTAACAAGCTGACCCATCAGTCAGCGGCGGAGATGATGTCGATGACCGGGCAGACTACGGTGCTGCCCAATCAGATTCATGAATAACATCTAAGCCCCCCCTCCCCCCAGGTCTCCCACCATGGCAGGTGGTCTATTCGCTATGAACAGAAAGTATTTTAACGAGCTCGGCCAATACGACGCTGGCATGGACATCTGGGGCGGAGAAAATCTGGAGATCTCCTTCAGGGTGACGAAACTGTTTAAGTCTGTCATTGGAGGAGACGGAACATGGTTAGCATAGCTTAGCATAAAGACAGGAAGTACCCACAATGTTCTCTGTGTCTCCCACTCAGATCTGGATGTGCGGGGGTCAGCTGCTCATAATCCCCTGCTCCAGAGTGGGTCACATCTTCAGGAAGAGGCGACCCTACGGCTCGCCGGGGGGACAGGACACCATGGCCCACAATTCTCTGCGGCTAGCACACGTATGGATGGACGAGTACAAGGTACGAACACACACACACTCATACAGACGTGATCCTGATGCGTCTTCTGACCTCAGTCCCTGTGTGTCTGTGGACCAATCAGGAGCAGTATCTGTCCCTGCGTCCAGAGCTACACGAACGCGCCTACGGAGACGTTGGTGAGCGCGTGGCACTGAGGAAACGCCTGCAGTGTCACACCTTTCGCTGGTACCTGGACACGGTCTACCCCGAGATGCAGATTTTGGCCAACGGCAACAAGCAGCCGCCACTCTTCATCAACAAGGGCCTGAGACGCCCCAAAGTGCTGCAGAGAGGACGGGTACCTGAGGCTCACCTTCATTTGTCGTAGTGTGATGAAGCACCACAATGATTTGCATGTCATCTTCACGCTGATTGTCTAAATTGCATGTCACACATTTATATCTTTGATCAGCAACTACTTCATGTGCTGGTTCTCAGTTTGAACGTGGTATTACAGATCTCCTATTCATCATCTCAGGAGCACAATAATCTGAAATTGGTATCTTTCAGCTCCGCAACCTAGCAACCGGGCGTTGTCTGGTGGCCCAGGGCCGACCCAGTCAGAAGGGGGGAGTCGTTGTCCTGCGACCATGTGACCCCAGAGATCCTGAACAGGTGAACAGAACACATGATTGCAACCAACCATTCAATGTGGTAAAGTGAGTGGGAGGAGCAAGATGGTGGAGGGGGTGAGAGGTGAGGAGGAAGTGGAGGGGAAAGATGCGGGTGAGGTGGAGATGGGAGACGGGTCAGATGGAAGGGAGACAGGTGACAAAGTAAGACAAAGTTGTGTGTGTGTGTGTGTGTGTGTGTGTGTGTGTGTAGGAGTGGGCCTACGATGAGGAAAGTCAGCTGGTCCTGGCTGGTCTACTGTGCCTTGATGTGTCTGAGGTCAGGACCTTTGACCCCCCCCGACTAATGAAGTGTCACGGTTCGGGAGGGTCGCAGCAGTGGAGCCAAGGGGTGAGACAATACATCCAGCTCTGTTATTGGCTGTACAGAGCCGTACTTCCTGATCCGTCGGGTGCCCCCCCCCATCCCCCGTCGGAGTTTGAGACCCCTGTTTTAGAGAAATGTTACTAATGAGATGATGACGGTCTGTGTCTGTCTGTGTCTCTGTGCCTCTCTCTCCCTTTCCCTGTCTGTTTCTCCTGCAGAAGTCCAACCGTCTTTACCAGGTCTCGGTTGGTCAGTGTCTCTCCGTTGCTCAGCCAATCGGGCCCAAAGGTTACGTCTCCATGGCGATATGTGATGCCTCTCAGGCCCAGCAGTGGCAGCTGGAGGTTTGAAGAGGATAAAGCGCAGCGAGTTTAGTTAAAGACAATCAGGTTTTATGGACACTTTATGGTGTTCGTCTTCACTTTTCAAAGCGGCTTTTATGAACCATCAGATTTTATTTAGTTTTCATGTTTCTCTCTTTTTAATCAGACCAGCTCCAACTGGACTTGTAAAACAACTGCCCTGGAATACCCTGGATTAAGAGTTTTTCATTCCAGTGTGGATTTTCAAGTGTTGAACGTGCTCCAATGAACCTTGTGGACTGACGAGAGACAGTACACACTATAGACTGCAAAGACAATATAGATGTTAGAGTGTTTGGACGAAACAGACGATGAACAAAACCCTTTTTAAAGTAAGATTACTTTAATCAGTAATAGATTACTTTGTAGGTGATAGAAAACTTTGCGTTCATTCTTATATTTATATACAAAAAAGACGAAACAGACAGTAGAGACAAGTCCTGAATTTATGGGTGTACCTGAATAAAGACTTGTTGGTTGATCGGAATGACTCGTAACTCACTCGACGTCAAATGATTTATGACAATTAAAAAAAAAAAAAGTGAGTTATGTCATCATAAATAAACAACTACAAGTAAAGACAGTAAGTCAATTTATTCCAACATCCGGGGGGAGGGGAGAGCTAGCTGGAAGCTAAGCTACCGAATGCATGGCGGGGCCATGTATGGCCACCAGCTGGCAGAGGTGTTCGTAGGAGGCTGTGGTTGTACACTATAGCGGCAACGATTAGTCGACGTAATCGTTGCAGTAAAGGTTTATCAAGTTGAACGTGGGAGAGATGAAATAGTCTGGTTGGGTTCGCTGATGAGATGCTCCCAAACAGGACAACGCAGCACCTGCAGGACCGAGTTGTAATTTCACAGCAGCACGACGGCAACGCAGGAACATTTAAGTCGCGAGCGTGCTGGAGCCACCAAGTCTTCTCCTCATGGGTAAGTTTAGTTAACTAAAGTAACGTTAGCCTTATTAACTTACCCTTAGAAAACAGAACATCTGGTGGAGGATGCTTGCTAACGCTGTTTCTGTTGTGTTAAATGCAGGGTGGTAAATTATCGTAGCCTGTCTTTTCGTTTGTTCTGAAAAGTTAACGTTAACCTCCACGTAGCATTTTTGGAACAAGATTGTGGAAAAAAATAATTTCATATCAACACAATTACGACAGTTCTATTCTAGCATAATAAAACGATGTGCTACTGTAACCTACAACATGATAATTAAAGCTGTGCTTTTATCTCAAGTGCTGAGCAAAGTTAAGCAAAGCTACGTGCATGAGTTTGTCCTTCAGAGGCTTGTGCACCCTCACGTGGAACGAGTCTGGACAAAGAGCATCCTCAACATGCTCGTCACTTAGACTTTTGCTACTTTGAGTTTTAAAAACTTCATTTACACTTTCTCTTTACTTTTAAACACATATTTGCACTTACATTTTGTATTACTATTTAATGTATTTATTATAACTACATTTGTATTAACTTGTTACTCAAATTGAATTGAAGATTAAAATCCAATATGTTGAACCGAATCCAACGGAAATCCAAATTCAAAGGACTCTTCAAGAGAAAGGGGCGTAACCCTGGTGACATGGGCGGTACAAAGGGAGCAGGAAGTGAATGTGCGAAAGATGTCATTGGATGGAAATACGCGGCCACCCTTTGTAGCCATAATGAATACTTGCCTCTTTGTTTCCACACTCCTACACTGGTAAATAATCGTTAGATTAGTCGACTAAAAAATAGTCGATTATTGGGCTGCAACAACTAATCAATGAATTGGTGAATGGTTGCAATGAAAGCAACCAACGACTTCCACACACAAAGACGTGACTCTCTAGGTCGTCTTCAACAAAACACATTACTCCACCTGTTGTTCTGGAGGTGAATCGCTCTGCAACACACGCAAGACTTCCTACAACCAGGAAGTGAAACGAGGACGCAGAAGCAGAAACATGCGCCGGCCTTTCGTCCGAGCGCAACTGCAAAAAGGAGGACAAGGCAGGGCCTTAAAAATACGGATGTCTGGTCGCCCTCGTCACATGGCACAGGCAGAGAAGTCTGTTCAACTTAAGTCGTCCAAGGTGTGCGAGCATTTAACACTAAATAAACTAAAGTGTGTCAATGGAAAAATATGCATAGCCAACGTAACATGGCACGGGAGCACCACGTTGTCCTGTTTTGACGTGAGGAATCTAAGGAGCCTCCAGCAGCTATTTACTCGTCATGCAGCGTTGGCGCCCTAATAACCGCAGTAAAGCAGTTAGCAAGACTAAAGACACGTTTTATTTATTCCCCTTTTATGGACCATTTATTTTCTAATCTGGTTGTCATATATTTTGTGCTTTGTCCCATATCTGTTATTGTTGATAAATATATTTGTGTACGTGGTGTTTTTTAAGGCCATTTTAAATTCATCTCACAGAACTTTGCTGTTTTATAGCTGTATTTCGATGTGATGGGTACATGTACTGAACTTGCACTACAATGATGGTAATAATTCAATGAATAAGCTTCAAGTGAACATGGGGGTATGTTTGAGTGTGTGTCCGAGTATGTGCGTCTGAGTGTAGTGTAGAGAACAAGTTCTGATGTTAAAACAAATCATGTTAAATTTTCTGATTTGTATTTTTCTTTATTTTATATAAATTATGTTCACCTTTATTTTACATAAAACAATATCAATAAGACGACAATATAGCAGGTAAATAATAGAAAACATATATATATATATATATATGTTAACAATCAATTTAGTATTATATAATCAAAGTTGATCGGGTCTCTTCCAGCATCTCCTGTCAGTGGGCCGCCCCCCGCTCAGGATCCTCCTCAGCTGGGCGGACACCTCACCCAGTCCCAGTAGTGCTCCCTCCTCCCTTGGTGATCTTCAGCAGGAGTTTCCTCAGTCTGAAGACCTCCTGCTGGGTGTACTCTCCAGGAGGAGCTTCCTCAGTCTGA